GCCCGCGGACCCCGGGCCCCGACGGCGCGGAGCGGGGAGGCCCCCCGGCGCCAGAGCCCCTCCTCGGGCCCGGCCTGGGCAGGGGCGGGGGACCCCTGGCGCCCCTCTCGGTGCTCCTGTGCCGGGTGTGCCTGGAAGACAAGCCCATCGAGCCCTTGCCCTGCTGCAAGAAGGCCGTGTGCGCCGAGTGCCTCCAAGTCTACCTGAGCGCGCAGGTAGGGACCCGCGCCCCCGCCCCGCCCCAGGCCCTGGCCCGGCCCGGCCGGCCCCCTGCTCCCGGAGCGGCGAGGGCGCACCCAGAGGCCTGACCCGCGCCTCCCTCCCGCTTTATTAAACGCTTTTGGTCCGCACTGGTTCGCCAGGCTGGAATTTGACTCCGTTCAGGGGCTAGGGTTTGGGTCGGCTGCCCTAAAAGGAAGAAGACTGTGTGTCGCCCTGTGCTTGACTTCCACCAGATTGCAAGCAGGAGCTTGCTCGCAGCTCAGGAGCAGGCTGCCTCATGGGCCTGGAATCCCAGAAGCTAACAGACAGTGGGCATGAGATAAATATTTACGGAGCGAACAGTGCAAGCCCGTGATTCTGGGTTTTTAAAATTTATTTTCTTTCTGTGTTCCAGAAAAGCGTAAAAGCATTCCGTGATTCTGGCCCACTCCTCGGTTTGCCTTTTCAGGAGTAGAGTTGGAGTTATTCGCTCCACTCCATGTTGAAGGCCAACCCAGACCTTTATTTCTTTAAAAGAGAAACAAAAAAGAGCAAAAGATCACGCAAGGAGGCGCAGAGGTTTCACCAAAGCGGTGCTGTAGAACTTTCCTCCCGCCCTCCCGCGGGAGACCTCGTTGTTTTTTGCTTTTTTTTTTTTTTTTTTTTTTTCTTGGAAAGCTTGAGAAACCAGCCTCCCACCCCCGTGAGGGCCACCGCGGTGTCGCGGCCCTGTTTGGGCTTTGGCTTTAACATCGCCGCCAGAGTTCTGCGTGATCCCTCGTGCCCTTCGATCCCTTGGCCATCCCTTGGCCAAGCATCCTGGGCTGGTTCATCTTTCAGAACCCCGGGGGGCCAGGTGCCAGCTCCCAGGAAGCCTGAGCTCATCCTGCGGCCCTGCTTGGAGACTTTCAGTAGCGTCTCCGTGGCTTACGTGCGTGCACCGAGGCTGTTCTACGTGTCTGGCTGGCTGGCTGTCTGGGCAGTGTCTTTCGTTCCAAATCCGGTCCTTTCACGTGGAGGGTTACTCACATCACGGGCTGAAAAGCGAGCAGAGTTGTATGCAGTGGGGCTCCTGGGTGCTTTGTGGCTGACCCAGACTGGGGTCCAGACTGAAAGTGTGGACTAGGCACAAATGCAAATGCAAATGGAAACTTAGAATGGGACGTTACAGGAACAGTCACTGACTGGGCTCAGATCGCTGAGTTTACTGGCTGCTCACTAGAGACGCTGAAGTCTTTCAGGCGTTTTCCACAAATGGACCCTTGGAATAGAAGGACTGTCTGCAGCCTGTTGTGGGCATTTCTGTGACATCACCATCAGACAGTGCCACCTTCCCTGGGTGGGCGTGGGACATTCTGCCGTGTGGGCCTTTCTTTCTCTAAAGAAGTCAGGACAAAAGCAGATGTGTACAAAGTAGCATGTAAATGCAAACAGTAGCAGTGCCTTGTAGCAACAGGTTAAATGCTGGACACAGTGGGTTTGCAAGTTTAGGGGAGACACCACTGCTGGGACTTGGTCCCCCAGTTCGCTCTCCTTTTCCCAGAGCAGTTTTCTTTCCTTCTTTGCCTAGGTGCCCTTCATTAGTTTTAGGAAGTTAGTGTTTGAACCTGTAATAAAAAAAGAGAAGAAGCCAGGTGTGCTGGTACACCCCAGCACTCCGGAGGCTGAGGCAGGAGACTCATTTTGAGTTTGAGACCAGCCTGGGCTAAAAAGTGAGCTTAAGTCCAGCCTGAAGTGCATATGGAGACCCTGTCTCAAGAAAAGGAAAAAAGAAAAAAAAAAAGGAAATTGAAGAGCAGTATAGCAAGGACAGTTAAACGTCCTGCAGTGTTTTGGCGTGGATGTTCCTGGTTTTCTCCTAAAACATTGGACAGAACTTTCAATAAAGAAAAAAAATTAAGACAAGCCCAACTTGAGTGCAGAATGCCAGACATTCTTCCGTCCAGGGGCTTCTGCCCTTGGCTAGCCTGTCCCAGTCCCCATGCTGGGTATCCATATTCAGATCTTACCTGTGTGGGGAGCTTCACCCACACACCCATCTCTCTTCCTGCTTTTGACTTCGCTGGGCTGAGCCGCTCTCGTACCCAAGCAGTTAAGTTCCATGAGGGCAGGCGGGCATCAGCAGGATTGTTTTGTACCTGGGCAGTGTCTGGCACCTAGGAGAAGTGTAGCCAGAAGCCACTGACGGGGAAGAACCTGAGGTGGCCCAGGACCCCAGGCTGGGAAGGGTGTCATGCTTCAGCAGTGCATCTACTCTGAGCGTCTGAATGTTTAGGACAAAAACTTAAAGCAGACCAAAAGAAAGAAAGGAAAAAAGTTTGGGGCCAGCCAAATAGTTCAGCGGACTAAAGCACCTGCTTAGGCAGAGCATAGGGACCGGGTTCGATCCCCAGCCTGCAGTGCCAGCACAGCCCCTGGGGCACGCTGACACTGTGATTGAGACTGGGCGTGGTGGCATGTGCTTGTAATCCCAGCACTCGAGAGACTGAAAACAGGAGAATCACAATGAGTCCGATGTGTGTAGTGAGACCCCGTAGACCCTGTACTAACACACACACACACACACACACACACACACACACAATAATAGGGTGATTAAGTTTGCTTTTCAGTTTGGAATTAAGAATGAATATATTTTCTTGGCTTACAAAATACTAGTTTTTCTTTGGCTGCATGGAAGCATAGGTTTATGTCAGAAATGTTTCTGATCTGATCTGGCTCTTCCTGCGGAGGCCTCTTCCACTCGGTGTCATGTTCCCTGTGGCTTAATTTGGTGCCTTGATTTCCTCATCAATGAGAAGTAATTGTGGAGCAGTGATCCGTAGTAACCCGGCTGCCCGGGAGCAAAGTGACATCTAACTGTGTGTGTGTTTTGTTGCTTTTCTGGACCAGGTCAAAAGGACTTAGAGACTGCTCTCTTCCCTGTCTTTCAAGAGTTTTTTGAAGTTTGAGAACAGTAAAAGTGGCAAGCCTTATCTCTTGTGACCTTTTGAAGAAAAATTGGGCCAGAGAGATGGCTCAGCAGCATAAATGCCAGCCTGGCAAGCGCAAGGTCCTGAGTTGGATCCCCGTACCCAAAAGAAAAAGGAAAAAAAAGAAAAATGATACACTTAAAAACATCCCGTGACTTTTTTTTCACTGTTTTTTTGAGTTTGTGCCATATACTTAGTGCATTATTTTGTATTTTTTAGGGTAAAAACCATTGTCTCTAGTAAGCAGTGTATATTAGCATTGAAAATGCATAATAAATGTGAGTTGGAATACTGCCTGGTTAAGTGAACATTCTTGTAAAAGGCGATGCTGAGTTCTTTGAAAGAGAGGAAGGCAGACTATCAGATGGCGAACTGTGTGTCCCTCCGGGCCAGGATCTGAAGAGCTGGCAGAGGGCGTGGGGTGGGCGGGGAGCGCGGTGGGCGTGGGCACTCCGCGCGGACCGGAGAGCCCAGGCCCGCCCACCAGCTCCTTCTTCCTTCAGTGTGCCCAGCATAGTTCGTCCCCACTTAACTCTGAGTGGGGCTGGGGGAGCTCTTCTTGGAGACTTCTTGGTGACTGACCACCCTGGGGGAACGCTTCGCATCCATGCGAGGTGTGAGAGGCTCCTGTGCCCTCCGACGATGGGAGCACGGCGGTGTGCGCTGCGGGGGTCCGAACATCCCTGTGCCTATGTGTGAGTGCATTTCCAGTGCGCAGAGCCTGCTGGGCTCCCTGCAGTGCCGGAGCTCTGCAGCTCCTGCCAGGCTGGCCTCAGCTGGCTTGGCCTTTCCTGCCTGCTCCTAGGGACAGGGATTATGTGTTGCCCTTTTGCCTCACAGAACTTTACAGTCATCTCAGAAATTCTCTACACGTACATTTCCATTGTGATTTTGATTTAGGTAGAGAAATGTCACAAATCTGATGGACTAATACTGCATGCTTTGGCTAAAGAAGGGAGCGAAAGCTGCTGACGGGCTTGCTGAAGGTGGCAGCTGTTGCGTTCCTTCACTGCTCTGCTTAGACACCCCAGGGTTTCGCCTGTGTGCGTGATGCAGACTGTGCACACCTGTCCACTGAATATTAATAGAGACCCGGGCACATTTCTGCTACCAGTTGTAAGCAGAACAGCTGCTGGAGGGCCAGGCCCCAAGAGACTGCTGCTCCGCTCATTCTCAGTTGGAGGCCTGAGGGTGAAACCCGAAATCCTGCTCTTGAACTCCAAGCCATCCAGTTCTTCCTGGGTAGACGTGTAATCCTTTTTCCTTTAAGCCTTAAACAACCTGAGTATTTTTAGGAGCCATCTGGTTTACTGTGCAGCTCGAACGCTGTTGTCTTCACACAGGTGAAGTTTCACCTTCTGTCTTGCTGCATGTGATCTTGGTAGTTCCGAACGTGTGAAGAATGACATAAACTGAAACCTATTTCATACTCACCCTACAAATTTTAGAAGTGAGAATTAAAGCAGTGCAAGCACCTGCTTTTTGTGCGTCTGGGAGATACAGCGCTATTTGATTTCACGCCTTCCTGATTCACACTTCTATATTCCTCTTCTTTTCTGTGCTTCCTTGTGCTTTCTTAGCTTCTTCCTTTTCCTGTCCCTCTTGGCCATCTGATCTTCACGGTCTTGCATTTGTACGGAGGAATTCCCTGTGCAGTGCTGAGCCCCAGGGCCAGCAGGACCCAGCCCTCCCACTGCTCGGAGCCTCCTCTCTTCAGAGCTGGCTCTTGGATCTGAGGCTGCAGGGAGAAACCTTCGCCAGCCTCAAAGTTCTGCACATACAAGCCCCACCGACCTGTGGCATCACCCAGTGCTGCTCCCGTGTGTTTTCTTTCTTCCTCCCGGAGCAAAGCTCCACTTTTGTACTTGAAAGCCCTTGCTTCTGCGAGGAGCGACACAGGAAGTCCTGAGCTTGTACTCCCTGCTTTTTCTTAAGAGTCTGTGATGTCCACTACAAACAGGTAGCTTATTACCACTAGCTTCTGAACTTATTAATATACCATTTATGCACTTAAACATTTACTGGGGACAAGTACACCAAGC